GTGTTACATTTTATAAGGTCAGTTTCAAGTAGGGAGCAATTTGGGCCTGGATGTACTGAATTAAAATATTTCGGAGGCTCCACATTCTAGCTAGACAATTTTGACAGTGCTACTAATGCTGTTTTCTTCATTTGACAAGTCCCCATAATCAAATAAGCCCTTTATCAATTTAGAAGACCTCGCTCGACTTTGTAGCCAGCTAGTTTTCATTGATTACATGGCTTTGACAACGGGATTTAATTTAAAATGCAAACGTGTTAAATATTAAATGATATACATCACTATCTATTTTGTATAAAGTCATGTGAGGTCATGGACACTCTCCAGGACCCCTCCTCCATTCTCTTGTAGTTATGTAAAAAATTACAGTCATTGGGAAACTGTAATTAACAGAATTAATCTATTTAATTCTAAAATCAACTTGAATATCTATTTGATAAAGATTCTTACATTCTAGTTCTCCACTGATTTTAGTAAAACAAAGACAGCTAAATTTAGAGAAACTAGGAGGTGACTCTAGTTTCTGTTTATGTTGTTTTGTTTGCTGTACGGATTTCTAAAGAATTACGTTTAATCTAATGTCTAGATTTTCTTAAAGATTTTTTTTTTAACTTGGCCTTGACGTTAGTGTTTTCATTGTTAAGATTCCGATTTCGCTGTTTTGCCCAAACATACACTGAGCTTGTTTTTCTTTGGTAAATGGGTACCAACTGTGTGTGAATGCATGTATGTTTCAGGTGTGGAGTAAGGACTGCTCTGTGCAGTGGGAAATAGAAACAATTGCTAAGCAAGGGAGAAAAGCATGTTCACTAAAGTTCATTCTCCTTGAATGAACTAATATGCTGGCAACTTACGGCATAGAATAAAAACATACTATTATGGATTAAAGTTAAAAGTTCAAGGACAGAAATTTTCACATATTATTTTACTTTCAGCCTGGTTTATATCCTGGTCGTTGAAAAACATGTCGGACAAGTATTTGTACCTTTTGTACATTCATGGAGGTGCTCACTTTGGAAGAACCTATTCAAGGTCAAATGCAAATTATTTAGATTGGTTCCTTTAGGATTCTCTTCTGGCTGGATTATTGGTTCCTTTAGGATTCTCTTTTGGCTGGATTATTTTAACTGCTTGGATGTATCTTCATTTTAATTGCTTTTGATGGATTATTTCTGAGGAATGGGATCAAATTCCTAATAACTGGTGCAACTGAAATCATTAAGTGCAATAAAGTCTAATCTTTAGCATCTTTTTTTTCCCATACTTTACTTTCACAGGCAATTTTGATCTGGTCATTGGTGAAATTTCATAGGCCTAGTTATGCCAAAATTCCATACCCTGACTGGGGCGTTGCTCTAGGCTGGTGTATGATTATTTTCTGCATTATCTGGATTCCAATTATGGCTGTCGTAAAAATAATTCGAGCTGAAGGAAATATCTTCCAAGTAAGCACATTTATGTTATTTATACTTTATGTAAAGCACTGACGATCAAAATGAAGATTACTCACATGATGGTCATAGGGGATTATGTGCCTTTAGGCTACGTCTATACCTGATACCATCATCTGATTACTATGCACATAACATTGCTTTATACCATTTATATATTTGTGTATCTTGTACTAGACTATAAGCTCCTTTAGGGAGGAGTCCTATGTTGCTTGCTGCTGTACCCTCAGGCCCTATTACAGCCCTCAGCATGTACATATGATATTTATACTTGTACTGAGTTCTCCTTGAAGGTGACATGAAACAACTGATCTTTTTGCTTTAGATCTAGAATCTTCATTTTAAAAGCCTTGCCCGGTTATAATACGTGTCCTAATAGTATGTGTAGACTCGAAAAAGCCTGGTAAATGATCTGGGACCCCATCTAGACCCTGAGTGATCCTTCTTGCGTGGAGGCCTAGGGGGACGGAGTTGACTATGACATCTCACTAAGACAGTGACTAGGACAAATCTCAGAAGTCAGGTTTTAAGTAATTTCCCAACCCATCCAGATCAATGGTTTGACCTTGGCGTTCCCTTTCTGTGGTCCTTGAAACCTCGCAGCCATACACTGGTTTAAACTGTCACTTGACTCTCACTCTAAGGGAAAGACAAAAATGTCGGAGAATTCAGTGAAAAGACATGGAGCGACTGTGTTCTTCACACGGGCTCATGCACTTTCTTTCAAAGTCATTTATAGGCTCAGTTAGCCTTGTTGTGTAATCCTATTAACAATAAGTTAAATTTGAGTATCTTTTTTTAGCCCACTATATTAAGAATTTTGATGACCACGTTTTACTTTTCTATGGTTCCTATTTCATTTTGGTTAGCAAAGAAACTTAATATTCTGCAGTGAAAATATGGTTTGTTATTTGCTTGCTTACAGACTGTCACACTTATGGTCTAAAACATGCTTTTTTTTTCTTTTCAGCGCATTGTAAGCTGCTGTAGACCAGCTTCTAACTGGGGTCCATACCTGGAACGGCATCGTGGGGAGAGATATAAAGACATGATAGATCCTAAAAAAGAGACTGACCATGAAATACCTACTGTTAGCAGCAGTAGAAAACCAGAATGAGATCTAATTTTTAAAAAAAGCTGTGGTCATGTAAAGTGATAATTTTAGAATTGAGGAAAATTTTATTTATTTGTATGTTAATTGAGTAGGAAAATGTATATACTATGTCCATAATAGTATAAACTTTTTTTTCCCACTTAAGCAGGAATGTGATATAATGTGAATCTACTAATATTTAACAATGTGATTATTGTATTTCTTTTTAGATCATCTATCTGTATAACACATGCATAGCTGTCTCTATCTCATAATAACACTTTTGTAAATAGTACCTTAATATTTTTCTAATATACTGAAGACTTTATTTTGAGCCGGTTATTTAGAAAATTGTTATATTTTCTATTATGTAAGTTTTGAAAAATTATTTGCTATATTTTCTTAGTATATAAGCTTTCTTTTCCATAAAGCTGGGGAAATAAAATCAGCATATTTAAAAGAAAGTGTTAAAATGGAAGGCCCTATTTAACTAGAAATGCTATACATATATGCAAAAACCAGACTGTGTATGTGAGCACCATGGTTTAATAGTTTTAATCCAAATATATCTAAAATTTTCATGGATTTGTAGGTCCCTTTTCCTAGGTGAACTTAGTGGTTATGCTCTTTATTTACAAAAAATGAAGAGAGAAAAATAAGGATTCTATGGCCAGTAAATCATAAATCTTGAAAACGGAATCCGGAAACTTTGATACTTCTTTCCCCATATAATGTCTCCCTTAGGTTATATTTGGAAGAAAATAGCTCCCATCTAATTTCTACTCTTTCACAAAATTAAGAGTTGGTCATTATACTCTCTGAAATCTAGGTTTAATATCAAATAGAACATGGGACAAAATACAAATGAGGCAATGGCTTCGATCCAATCCAAGATCTTATGATTGTAATAGGTAGTTAATAGATCAAGCAAAACGATTTTGTCTTATGTGAGTAAGTTACCACTTACAGTGATAACTTATTTACATACTTAGAGGAGATAAACTTGTCAAACTTGTCAAGAATGAAGGAAGGCAATTAGAAAGTCCTATGTCCCTGTTTCCTTACAGAAGACAATGAAAACATACCATTGATAGGTTTATACACCGATTAGATATTACTGACCACTGGTTTAAACATCATAGCCTGGGATATTGAACATTTCCTAAATATGTAAGAAACTTTTCAGCTATGCTTAAGGTTCTTAACTTGGGCTTCAGAGAACATATAAAACTGACACTATACATAATATCTTTCTACATGTATGTGTATGCGCATTTTTCTATGGAGACAGACTACCAAAGGGATCTGTAGTTCAAAACAGTTTAAGAACTGCATACACTACTGTTAATCTGTTGTTCAACAGATTAATTCCTCAGTTACACTGGAGTTTATAAAATATTTGAAATAGATGGCTGATCAGAGTTTAGAAAGACTTTTTCTTATTCTTAATCCATATTACCTTACATGCATCCTATCATTGTATTTTGCTGCTAGCTGAGGTGCCAATTTTTCACCAAATAGATAGGGAAATCTTGCAATTCAGGAAAGCTTTAGGCACACTTCTAGTGAAATAATACCAAATGGGTGGGGGAGAAGGTGATGGGGAAGCAATCCATTTCAAGAGCTGACTACAAAGAGTAAAGAGTGACTATCTTTACAAGTGTATAAAATGAGATCTTAACAGTGCCTGGCATATTTTAGGGGCCTCAGTGACAACTCTCATTACACAGACCCAACAGTGGTGAGAGAGTATTCCGTATAACAGAGTTCCATTGGATCCAATTTTTTAAATGTTTATTTATTTTTGAGAGAGAGACACAGAGTACCAGCAGGGGAGGGGCAGAGAGAGGGAGACACAGCATCTGAAGCAGGCTCTAGGCTCTGAGCTGGCAGCACAGAGCCCGACGCGGGGCTCAAACTCACGAAGCGCAAGATCATGACCTGAGCCGAAGTCAGTTGCTTAACCAACTGAGCCACCCAGGCGCCCCAAGATCCCAGTTTCTTTAATGCAAAAAGACATTTGCAATATTTTATCGTACACCAAAACTCTTTTCCACATGTGAGTGAAATTAAAATCACTATATTTCAAATCTATTTTTACTGTAGCTTATTATTTTAAAACAAACCTTTGGAACTCTTTTTCTCTATTGTGCTTTCATTCTTTCCCCAGCAAAACATTTATATATTTTAAACAGCATATATACACGTATATATAATAGATAAACATTATAGATATAAATGTATACATATATAAAACATGTAATCAATTCTTTAAATGTCAGTAAAAGCAAATTGATAAATGTCTGGATCTTGCACCTGACTTGGCCCCCCCTTAAACAACAATTCATTTGGTATAAACACAATCAAATGAATTCACTCAAGGTGCCTTTAACGATTGCCTTCACTGTCATTACAGTCTCTACGCCTATCACTGGATTCCCAGTTAGCTAATGTACCATTTAAACTTTTGATGATTAGGAGATGTTCCAATTCAGCCAGCTTGTATTCCACGATCCCGAGGTTTACCAACATTCGTTTCTGCATGGCTATCATGCGTGGGTAATTAATTACGAAATCTTGAGAGCTGCTGTTGACTGAAAGATTCTTATTAGACTTGCTCTTAGTTGACCCAGTAGAAGAGGGTGTTCTTACTAGCGCAAGAGAAGTCGAATTTGATGACACTTCACCAACGCTGCTCTGTAAGGGAAGGAAATTTTACAGATGTAGTTTTATTGAGTTGAGCGATTTTCAAATACAGCCGATGTTTGAATTGCTATGCCCAGATCGCGGTCTCCCCAAAATTCTAAGACCATGAAGGAGTCCGAGTCACATATGCAAAAGCAAAGGGCATTTATTCGGGCTTAAGCTCGGACTCTCAAACCTCACCTACGCAGTGGATCCGTGCTGAGAGCCCTGAACAATGGAGGAGCAGGGTTTTTATCACAGTTAGGGTGGGGGAAGGGGTGATGGGCAGGGACTACAATGTGATAGGACAGGGTGACGGCAGAGGTTGATGCGGCGCGGAGGGATTGGTGAGTTTAAAACTAAGCGGGCCAGGAAAGTGGCGGGAAGGTCCAGTACTTTCCCAACCTCCGGGGATTGGTTCCGGCAGGGGGAAGGGCGGTTGCTTAAGCCTGCTGAGTCATGCCTCAGAAACTTGGGCCTTTTAATTTCTGGGGCCTCCTGAAACCTGTCACGCCAGACATGGCGCTGGTTTGGGTCTTCAGAATAAGGTGGGAGGTTAAGGGCACTGATTCCCTTGGCAGTCAAAAACCCATATATAACTTTTGACTCCCCCCAAAACAGAACTACTAATAGCCTACTGCTGACCAGAAGCCTTACAGATAACAGTCGATGAACACATATTTTGTGTATGTATTTTATCCTGTATTTTTACAATAAAGTAAGCTAGAGAAAAGAAAATGTTATGAAGAAAATCGTTAGGGGGTGCCTGGGTGGCTCAGTCACTTAAGCATCTGCCTTTGGCTCAGGTCATGATTTCACAGGCTGTGAGTTCATGCCCGCGTTGGGCTCTCTGCTGTCTGAGCAGAGCCCACAACGGATCCAGTGTCTCCCTCTCTTCCTGCCCCTCCTCCACTTGCTTGCACACGTCTGCTCTCAAAAATAAAGACAAAACTTTAAAAAGTTAAAAAAATAGTAAGGAAAAGAAAATACATTTATAGTAGTGTACTGTATCAAAAAATAAAAATCAGGGTATAAAAACCCATAGAGTTCAAACCTATGTTGTTCAAGGGTTAACCTGAACTACCAAATAAGACTCTTAGACTTGGTTACCAAAATGAGCTGATTGTTCTCCCCTCAGAGATTGAAAATCTGCTGAACAACATTGATTTGGAAACACGCTCTTCCCAGAGACTGAAAAATATATATACATGAAAGTAGCCCTTTAATATCAAAATGTTGTATTTTTAGCTTACGTTTGCTGGACAGCCCAGTAGGTGTATGCTTGGACCCGGATCTTATCTAAAAGGACCACTAAAGATTTAAAGTCACTTGCAACTTTAAATATCACCACGAGAGCCACATTTTGAACTCAATTATTTGTGAATGCCCAAAAACCTGTCATAAAGGTGGCTGAAACCAGGGGAGAAAGAGGCAAACAAACCTAGGGGGTAGTAGAAGCTAGAGAAAGAATAGATTCTTAAAATAGAAGGTGATGGCGGACCGTTGGCACTTTGAACTGTCCTTCTCAAGTGGATGAAAAGCTGACCACATTACTTAGTGACTTGGGACTTTTCCCAACAGACCTCGGCTGTCGAATCGCTGGGCAAGAAGGGGGTAGTGTCGGGGAACATATCTGGGGCTCCTTCAAGAGAGGAAGAATGAGGTGACCTCCCCTTACTCTTCTTTTACTATTTTAGTATCTTTCTATTCTCAAATACCTCCCACCCCGCCATCCAAGAACTACTTAACTTCATCCAATTCTAATTTCTCTTACACACTTTACCTGAAGGCAAATTTTCACGATGACAAACAGAAAAGTAAATAGTACACAGCTCAGGAGAAGCAATAGAATGCTCATGTTTTCTCTTTGGCCTCTTCTGCCCTCTCGGGCACAGAGGCACAAGACTGGCAGTTGGGAAGTAGGGGGACACTAGTCACCCCGAGTATGGAAGCCACCGGCTGTGATGCTGAGCGTCCGGACTGCCTGGTGCGACTGGGAGCCACTTGAGTCTCTGGCTTTACATCGCCTAAAGGGCGCATGCCCTCACAATGGAGCACGTATGTGAGGGCGCTGCGTCACAATCTGATGACGTCAAACCCGGAAGCAGGCGGCACTTACAACGGCCTACCCGGTTGCCCGGTCAGGTTGTGACGGAGGGCTGTGAGAAGGAACGGGGCGTTTGGGATTTCCGGGGAGCTGCAGCATGGTAGAAATACAGACTCCAAATTGACTGATTAAATACAAGTTCTTAAAAGGGCTCATCCCTCCTTTTCTTTCTCTCTTAAGATAGGATTGTCTTCACTGCAGCCATTCCATTATTCATTTCAAAAGCAAGTTCAGAAAGGAGATGGAAATGTACTGGGAAAAGTAGTTACCCGCAAACTGTGTGAGTCTTTGCCAGAAACCTCCTCCACACTCCGGTTGCTATTTTAGGATTCATTTTAACCCCAGTCACGTTGGGCTAATGATGTGCATTTGTGCCACTGTATGGTCTAAAAAGTAATTCCAGGAACATTATTCTCCCATTTCTTACAGTAATTTTGTGCTGTAGGAATTTTTCATACTGTGTCTACCTTCAGAAGTGGCAGAAACAGATTCAGGTGGTAAGTAAACTCGTTGGAAACTAGTAGCAAGAGCAGGACTTGAATCCACAGAGCTGAGTCCTGAGGTAATTACCCCCACTCGCTTGTCCTCATCCCGATCCTCAGGACCTGTACATGTGCTTGCTGACTTGTGAGCATCAAGAATTTAATATTTTCCTCTCAAAGGACTGAACGGTATGTTTTGATTAACATTAATGCGAGCTAACAGATAGAGGAATCATTGTACTTGACAGGAAATGTTCAAGAAATTCAGGTAGATGTACAAAATGACGCCGAACTAATAATTCAGAGCTAAAATTAATAGCCAGGGTGAGCTCAAGATGAGTGTGAAACTACAACCCTTAACTGCTTGGGGGATAACTCACATCTTCATATAGATAGGAAGGAGAGGAATTATACATTTTCCACATCAAAGTTATTTCCCAGTTAAGATTTCAAAGCCTTTTTTTTTTTTTTTAATTTCAGAGAGAGAGAGAGACAGCGTGAGCAGAAGAGGGTCAGAGAGAGAGGGAGTCACAGAATCTGAAACAGGCTCCAGGCTCTGACCTAGCTTGTCAGCACAGAGCCCGACGCTGGGCTCGAACTCACAAACCGTGAGATTATGACCTGAGGTGAAGTCAGACTCTTAACCGACTTAGCCACCCAGGCACCCCAGGATTTCAAAGCATTACGTGTTCAACACACACCTAAAGGGTGGGCACTGTGATGTATTCTGGAGAAATGATTTCAAGCAAAAATAAGGTCTCTCTCTGTTGACCTGGAATGTGCACTGTAGTGTGGGAGACAGACATTAATTAAATACCCACAGAGATTAATGTAAAGGTGCTAATGAGATAAGTGGTAGCAAGAAGTACATGGTGGCAAAGAAACTTCTGATAGCATATGGGATGTAAAGGAGAATGAAGCTTCTGGCTTTACAGCTCACTCAATTGGACGCATGGGAAATAATCACGTCCAGGATTACTAATCATGAATTTGGTGTTTGACATGTTGAGTTGGAGGTGACATTGAGACAAGAAAAAGTTGACCTCAGGGAGAGAATTGAAGACATCAGTTTGTGAGGCGTCTGCATATAAGTGATAATTGAAACTCTAGATATGGAAGAAATTCCCTCATGTCAGGGTAGGACATACACACAGAGAGAAAGAATAGAGCATGGAAGGAGTTCAATATTTAATGGCTGGGTAATAACACTTCCTTTGGTATGTTATTGTGGTTATGTTGACATCTAACTTTCTTTTTTTTTTTTTTTATTGTTTAATGTCTTATTTATTTCTGAGAGAGAGGGAGACAGCGTGAGCAGGGGAGGGTCAGATAGAAGGGGAGACACAGAATCAGAAGACAGGCTCCAGGCTCTGAGCTAGATGTCAGCACAGAGCCCGTCGCAGGGCTTGAACCCACGAACTGTGAAATCATGACCTGAGCCGAAGTCGGACGCTCATCTGACTGAGCCACCCAGGAGCCCTGACATCTAACTTTCTTGTTTCCTAAATAAAATGGAGTGCAGCCTGGTAACTTTGTCTCTACCAAAAGCATTTTGGATTTTGATCCTACTGGAATCCAAGGGAACACTTTGAAGACCTCAGAAAATATTCTCATCAAGCGCGCATTGCAGTACTATTGCTAACCATGATTTTTTTCGTTTCTTTTTTATTGCGGTAAAATATACAAAACAGAGAATTTAACGTTTTAACTAATTTTTTATTTCTTTTTTCTTATGTTTGTTTATTCTTGAGAGACAGAAAGACAGAGTGTGAGCAGGGGAGAAACAGAGAGACAGACACAGAATCCGAAGCAGGCTCCAGCCTCTGCGCTGTCGGCACAGAGCCCAACATGGGGCTCAAACCCACAAACCGTGAGATCACGACCTGAGCCGAAGTCAGACGCGTAACCAACTGAGCCACCCAGGCGCCCCACATTTTAAACAATTTTAAGCGTGCACTTCTGTGGCTGTAAGTGCACTCAATCACCACCATCTCCAAAACGTTTTCATCTTCCCTAGCTGAAAATCTATACTCATTAAACACTAATTTCCTATTATCCCCTCCTAGAAACCACCATTTTACTTTCTGTTTCTACAAATTTAGGAGGAATAGTTACCACATAGGAGCAGAATGACACAATATTTGTCATGTCGTGCCTGGCTTATTTCACTTAACAAAATGTCTTCAAGTTTCATCCACGTTGGGGCATGACAGAATTTCTTTCCTTTTAAGGCTGGATAATATTTCATAGTATATATACATACCACATTTTGTTTACCCATTTATTCACTGATGGACACTATGTTGCTTTCACCTTTTGGCTATTGTAAATAATGCTGCTATTAACATGGGTTGTATATTTTAGATAACAGTCCTTTATCAGCTATGATATGTCCTTTGCAAATATTTGCCCCCAGTCAAATGGCTCTTACTTTTACTGTCTTGACAATGGTTCTCACAGAACAGACATGCTTAATTTTAAGGAAATCCAGCTTATCAAATCTTTCTTTCATGAATAGGGCCTTTGGAGTTATGTCTAAAAAGTCATCACCAAACCCAAGGTCATCTAGATCTCTTCAAATTAACAACTCTTGGTTTAGGTTTTTTTCCCCCTATTTTGATATACTCTACTTCCTCTATTTCTGCTCTAATATCTATTATTTTCATCTTTCTGCTAACATTGAATTTAGCTTGTTCTTTTTCTAGCTCTGTTATTGTTCCTGAGAATAGGTGAATGCAGGTTTCTCTCAAGTTCACGTGAAACAGTCTTCAAGACAGACCATATATGTTAGGCCACAATACAAGTCTTCATAAATGTAAAAATACAGAATCATATCAAGTATCTTTTCTAATCACAAGGGACGAAACTGGAAATTCACAGCAGAAGGAAGACTGGTAAATTCACAAATATGTGGCACTTAAACAACATGCTATTAAACACCCAATGGGTCAAATAAGATATTGGAAAGGAAATTAAAAAATATCTTGACACAATGAAAATGAAAATGCGATATTCCAAAGTTTGTGAGATGCAGCAAAACCAGTAATGAGAAGGAAATTTATAAGTTTTAATGTTTTCTTAAAAAAAAAAAAAAGACTTAGGGGCACCTGGGTGGCTCTGTTGGTTCAGCCTCCAACTTCGGCTCAGGTCATGATCTTGGGGTTCAGGAGTTCGAACCCCACATCAAGCTCACTGCTGTCAGCCTGTCAATGCAGAGCCCAGTTCAGATCCTTTGTTCCTCTCTCTCTGCCCCTTCCCCACATGCACTCTCCCCAAAATAAAATAAAATGTATTTATTTTATCCCCAAAATAAATAAATATTAGAAAAAAAGATTTAAAATAAATTTTAAAAAGACTTAAATCAACACCTTAACTTTACACTCCCTTTTGATTACTAACTGCATGAAATATCTTTTTCCATCTTTTTGCCATCAATCTCTGCATGTGCTTATATCTAAAATTACTCCCTTTTAGGCAACATATACTCGGATTCTGTTTTTAATTCATTATGCCAATATATGTCTTTTGATTGGGGTGTTTATTTACATTTGAAGTAATTACTGGTGTCAGCATTTACTTTTACCACTTTATTTAGTTATTTTTTTGTTTCCTGTACCTCTTTTTTGTCCCTCATTCTCTCCATTATTGCCTACCTCCTTCATCTTTAGTTCATTTTTTTTGTAGCGACACATTTTGACTGTTTTCTTATTTCCTTTTGTATATATTCAATAAGTATTTTATCGTGGTTACCATGGGTTACATATAACATCCTAAAGTTACGATTATGTCTTAAATCGATACCAAATTAACTTCAACTGCATACATAAACTTCACTCTTTTATAAATCTACTTCCTGCTTCTGCTTTATGTTATTGACGTCACAAATTATATCTTTATGTATTGGATACCCACTTATGTACATTTATAATGACCTTTTATGATTTTGCCTTTTTAAATCCTGTAGAAAATAGCAAGTGGAGTTACAAACCAAAATCACTGTAATACTGTTGTTGTTTTTATTTTACATTTGCCCATTTGCTTTTACCAGAAATCTTTATATTTTCATGTGGCTTTGAGTTACTATCTAGTGTCCTTTAATTTCAACTTAAGGATTCCTTTTAGTATTTCTTTTGAGCATTACTATTGGTCATGAACTCTTTCAGATTTTGTTTGGATATGTTTTAATTTCTCCATTATTCTTTTTTTTTTAATGCTTATTTTGTTTTTTGAGAGAGAGATAGAGCATGAGTGGGAGGGGCAGAGAGAGGGGGAGCACAGGATCTGAAGTAATCTCTGTGATGACAGCAGAGAGTCTTGATGCGGGGCTCAAAGTCACAAACTGTGAGATCCTGACCTGAGCCAAAGTCGGACACTTAACCAACTGAGCTACCCAGGTGCCCCATTTTTTTCTCCCTTATTA